TGAAGACTCTTGTTGAGGTAACCTAGCCCTTTCCTCTCCTGCCTTGCCTCCTTGCCTCCTTGCCTCCTTGCCTCCTTGCCTCCTTGCCTCCTTCCTTCCTTTCTTTCTTCCTTTCTTTCTTTCTTTCTTTCTTTCTACTCTTGTCTCTCCTTATATTTTATACTTACTTGCTTTGCTTAACCATTACTACACTCTTGTCTAGGTAAATCAAAAATTTGCCAGAAACAAGACGCCCTTGCAAGTGGCCTGTCATCAAGGAAAATCTGAGATTGTGTCTTATCTACTGGAAAACGGAGCTGACAAAGAACTAAGGGTAACTATGGTTCAACGTCTTACAACTTTGCATCTTTTAACATTTACTCACATGCAGTATTTTATTTAAAACTGTAATTTTTGACATAGGATGAACAAGGTTACACAGCATTGCACCATGCTGCTTATGGGTGAGTTCTATCGTACGTTATTTGTTTGAAGGAAGAATATAAGCCTTTTTAACTGCATTGTCATTAAATTAGCACGCTTTATGTACGCAGTCCATCCACCCACCCAATCACCCACCCACCCACCCATCTATCCATCAATCTATCCATCATCCACCCATCCACCCTCGCACCTATCAGACCAACAATCCATCTATTCACCCATCCATTCGTCCGAACGTCTGTTTGCCTATCCCCCCATACCTTTTCGACCTCCTCGTTTATTTTAGATCGATTACTAACCAATTCAGTTAATTCATTTCATTCTTGTCATTTCAGTGACGAAACCGGTGTTTGTGTTGTAGTCATGCTTTCTGCTAATGCCAAAGTGAATCCAACCGATTTGGACCGAACCAAGGTAACACCTCTCCATCTCGCTGTTCAAAGAGGCAATGAAGCAGGTGTGGTCGCTCTGGTACAATCTAAGTATTGTGATGTCAATTGCCAGGTACGAATTATAATTGTAAATTTAAAGAATATTTCATGTGAAACCAGGGAGAGCTGCCTCTTCTTATCCCCTTCACCTTTACTTTCACCATCAGAAACTTATATAAGTCCGTTATGAGATTCAGCTCCCATAAGTTTCGTCCTCGGAGATGCTATGTTCCTCATTTCCAAGAGTTTCCTGAGACGATGAAAGGGAAGGTTTCACATTAAACCCTTTCCTGTAGTTGATCATTGCTCTTAGAGATTATTTCATGCTTGAGGTATTGGAGAGTTATCGTTAAAATCGATTCCCAAAAACGCTGTTGAAGGTTTCAAGAAACTATGCTACGATGTTACATTGTTACTTGCAACTCCTTTTGTCCATAAAATTGTAGAAGGCACTTGAGGCCTATTCTGGATCCTTTCCCCTCCGCGGGGAATGGCAATATAAGGCAATAGTTTGCTGTATCGAAGATAAAAGATGACGGAGCGAACATATGTCAAGATATAAGTTGCATGAGACATCGTGTGACAGCGATTCGAGCTGTATAATAGACCATTTTCGAGTTCCAAATTACCGCTGTGTTCCTTGATTACAGACTCATTTACTCAGGGTTAGCCTCGACTCAGTGTCTAAATATTCACAAATACCAACAGTAAAGTAAAGAATGCACAACTTCAACAATACCGCAAACACTTTGAAATTCCACCGACCTTCACAAGAACTCATAAATATTCTGCAAAAAGTCGAGGCCAACCCTGAGCAACAGAGAACTCGAAAGTGGACTATTCTTTGTTTGAGCAAATCATCCCTAATAATAATGTACCTTTTCAAGCGTTACTAGTCGTGAAAAGGTACATTGATATCAGGGATGAATTACTCAAACAAAGAATCGAATGTTACCCCACTGAAGACCAAGTGTTGATTTCTTTATTTAACAGTACTGCTGGTAAATAAAGAAAATGATTCTGAAAGGAATCAACACATGGTCTTCAGTGCATGGGAAAACATAAAAACGCAAACAAAATCTTCCTCAGTATCAATTTTCTAATGCTTTATCATTTTATAAAGGACGTATTGGGAGACACACCTTTACATGAAGCAATTTTACGCAGTCAGAATAACATATTTTCCCATCTACTCAAAGCCAAGAACCTGGATCCAACTATTTGTAATGTAAATGGATTCAACATACTGCATTTGGCCTGTCTGAAAAACTGCCAACAGTAAGATCTGTTTTATATGTGTGCATATATGTGACATATTATTTTATACACCGAATTCAAAAAACGTTTTCATCGCCAAAGACGAAAGGCGATAGATCATTCCGACATGGAAATGGTTTCATTGAATACAAAGAACATCGAATCAGTCTCAGCACGAAGGGCCATACTCTTGACGAGAATAATAATAAGAAGCACAAGTCATTCCAGCTATTCTTGAATCTTGGAATGACATATATCTTATTTATTTTTGCCTATCGCCTATTGCCTATCGCCTTTGGCGATGACAGCGTTTTTTGAAACAGGTGCATGTATAATGCTTTTAAACCGAAGATGATACAGAAGTGCATCCATTGTCCCAGTAAATCTAAGCGAGCGCATCCTAATTAGATTATTTTGGATTTTGCTTTGAAAATTCGAATTTATTCCAACGAGCTTTGTTCCTGAAGCCTCTGGTTGCCGGATGTAGGGGGGGGGGGGGGGGCAAGTATCTACAAGACGAAACTGTCTGTGCATATGGGCTAGAATAGAGGTTTTGCACCATCACATGAACGGCTGCCATATTAGATGGCGGAACATTGCTATCGTTTCGTTATTGTTCTGCCATCCAACCACAGGCATTCCAAGCTGTATTATGAGCTTTGGCAAGTGATAGTGCAAAACCTTTATTTGGAAGGGAGAAAAGCTTCCAGTTTTGCCCGCATCTCTAGCTCTGTACTTGTTCTTGTTTTGGTGTCTAACATATCTTTCTGTCCTCATACATTTGGACATTAAAACATTTGCCGTTTTTGTATTTGTTTTCAGTGCAGCCAAGTTATTGATAGAAAAGTTTCCAGGTTTAGTGGATATTACTAAAGAAGATGGATTTTCAGCTTTACATGTGGTTTCAATAAATAACCATCATGAAATTGCCAGACATTTGATTTTATCGGTAAGCGTACATTCCGTGAGAACAAGACTGACTAGATTTGTGAAAAGAAATGCTACTAAGGAAAAAAAAAAAAAACCAAATTAAAACCAAATTAAACAAAATAAAACGCTTTCGTTGCGTTTCGTTTCGTTCGTTTGCTTTGCTTTCGTAATTGCGTCTCGTTTCGTTCGTTTGCTTTGCTTTCGTAATTGCGTCTCGTTTCGTTCGTTTGCTTTGCTTTCGTAATTGCGTCTCGTTTCGTTCGTTTGCTTTTCTTTTGTAATTGCGTCTCGTTTCGTTCGTTTGCTTTGCTTTCGTTTCGTTATTTTGCTTTGCTTTCGTTGCGCCTCGTTTCGTTCGTTTGCTTTGCTTTCGTTGCGTCTCGTTTCGTTCGTTTGCTTTGCTTTCGTTTCATAATTACTTTCGTTTGCTTTGCCTTGCTTTCTTTTCTTTACTCTACCTCCTCGTTTCTTCTTTTTTTAATTTATTATTTTTAACTTTCTTTCAATCGTAATCAAATATGGGTTTTAATAATTGTGTTATCAAAATTTTTTTTCAGGGTCATTGTAGCATCAATATGCGAAACGATGAGGGCATGACAGCTTTAGCTTTGTCTGTATCAAGGAGTCACAAAGAAATGATCGAACTATTGATTGAGCATGGAGTAGATGTCGATGTGGAAGATAAAGATGGAGACACACCCCTTCATGTTGCTGTCATGAAACACTGCATCGTACACTTAGGGGTAAGTTACGGCATCCATGTTTGTTTTATTGTTATTTCCACCAACATGGCGCCATTTCTTTTGCCACATCCAACATTTTTACCAGTGTCGCTTTCTTATATAATCCAACCTGGCTAGTATGTCTTTTGTTTTGTTATCCGGCCAACATGGTGGACATGTCTTTTGTTATATCATCCAACATGGTGGTCATGTCTTTTGTTATATCATCCAACATGGTGGTCATG